CCCCCCCAAAAAAAAATGTGTACACAGCTGTAAACACTAATGACCGACCAAAATATCTAGAAAAAAACTAAAACAAAACAAAACACTAACAAAGCAGAACCTCCCCCCAAAAACAACAACAACAACAACAACAACAATAAAACAACAAAAAACACCAAAAAACAAACAGCAAGCAAACACACAGAAACAAAACCCCACAAGTTATAATAATCACCCTTTCGCATTCTCTGCCTGTATTCATGTTCTGTGTCCCCTCTGCCTCTTCTCTTCCTCACCACTCCAACAGCCTCCTCCTCCTCCTCCTCCTCTTCTTCTTCTTCTTCTTCTTCTTCTTCTTCTTCTTCTTTATCATCGCTTTTGAAGTAACCTGATTGTCTCTGTGGGTAACTCAGGTCTCATTGAAGCAATCAATCCTTTCTTCCTTCTTTTCGTTTCCATGTTACTGTCACACTGGTGTCGGCTTGGGGATTTAAACGAGCTGATTTTTAGTCTACCCGTGTGCGAAGCGATAAGTCACTAAATCTTTTGTATAGTTACATGTACTACATTATGCGACGCAAAATCAAAATCTGTAATCCACACTAACACTAGATCTAGTAATACGTTCCCACACACTTCTACACCGAGGCAATTTCATGCTGAAGGCAGGGTTTAAGTACAAAACGTACAAGTCAGTTTTCCCTCTCCGAATACCCTGCATACCAGTCCGTCGCTCAGGGCACTCCTCTAGTAGATTATCTCTGCACCTACCAAATTTTAATCCGATCTACAGAGATCAACAATATAATATCATTAGACTCACATTCGAACCCATTTCAAACTACAATTTTACTCATGTTGTAGACATTGTCCTCTTAAAAGCTCCTACTATGGACGCGCTGGAAATGGCAGAAGGAAACCGCTGCGCAATGAGATCATAAAACAATAAAACTGTGAGGAATGCTATTGAGACCTCACTGGGGTGGAAAGGATTAATTTTCTTACCTACGGAAGCCGCTAGAGCGTGGAGACGCACTCTAAATACGGATTAGGGATTTGTTTTGGGGATTCAATGCCACGGTCAGCTGAGTACGGTTTGTTTGGGCGTGCCCGCTGGCCACGTTGGAAAGACGCGGACCTTTGGTGTGTATAATCGGAGTTCGATTCTGTAACTGATCTAAATTATACGTGAGTTTTGACCCAAAAGCCCCGACTGTAGAATTATGTTGAAGAGAGCATAATATCTCAAACTCGAACCGAAAAAAATGGAAATACCCCTGAAGATTGTGGTACTTTTGACAGAGGTTTTCACCTTGTGGATACATTAAGGGTTGTTTGTTGTTAACAACTTAATATTGTTACGTACACTTCTTGTTATATCCAGTGCACACAGCAAATCTGATTCATTTGATTCAGTCGGGCCGTCGTAAAGAGACAAAAACTACCATTTCAACAGAATACAACCGGGTTCAACTAAATTCAACTCTGACCTTCAAAATCATACATGTTTGTTTTTCAAGGTCGCGAGTTGAATCGTTCATACTGTGCCAAAATGATAACTCCATGAAGGAAAATCTGGCTGGTCTCGACTGAATCAATTTGGCAGCTTGCATTATTATCAGTGGGAAAGGCTGGTTTCTGATGAAACGCTACAAGGACGGAACTGCTGAGTGAATTGTGCCAAATTAAATCTGGGACTGTAAAGTAGATGTGATTTGTATAATTGGTTTAATTCTGATGATATGTCTCTAAATTACAAGTTGCATCTCGAAACGAAGGCTTTGAAGTTATACTTGAAGATGACGTCAAGAACAATGGTATGACCGGCCGCAGATCAACATCCGAGAGACCATAAAAAAATAAAATAGCAGTCATCACCTCACTAGAACTCATCAACATAATTTGAATTTTCATTCCTTTCAATCAAGAAGTATAGTATTTATAGAAAGATTTTTACAGCGCTTGCAACGCGTATAGGCCTAGTTCATATGAGTACTGAAGATGGGGGTGGGGGTGGGGGGAGTATTAGAGAGTAACATAAAAAAAAGAAAACAAGTAGAAAAGATAAGGACGGTAGATTTTTTACAGATGGAAAGAAGAAGCAAATCACATCAGAGCACTCGCCAGCCGCCAAGTTTTGTAACAGCAATGCAAATGACAATAAACTTCTCATATTATAAGTCTTTAAACTGTCACTACTACTGGGCAATTTTAGAAAATATTTGGTGCCCAAGATTTTCACAATTACAATTAGTACGTTGTCACCGTTCTTAGCACAAAATGGTATTCATTACCTTGGGTATGAACGAATGTAATGCTGTCTTAATTAATTTGTCAAGGTTGTCTTCTAAATCTTACCACATACACTGTAGCAACTCTTTTCAAGGACAAGGCGAGGGTCATTTGGAACACTATAACTTTATTTGTCAATCTGTTTTCACGAATGCAAGACGATTTCAGAAAAGAGAAGCTTTTTAAAAAAAAACACAAACATGTCAAAACTATACTCATACAAGACAATCCTGTAGTGTAGATAACGTCATTGTTGTCAGTACTGCTATAGTGGCAATAGTATTCTTGCTACACAAAAAAAAATTCAGTTTTATTATGGCCATAGATTCATTCTATCATATCATTGCTTATTTGGGTTGCTTTCTTTCTTCCTGAAAATTATTTCGAAATTGTAATTTGTATTGGCAAAAGACAATACTTGTTGGTGTTGTTGGGTTTGTTTGGGGTTTGGGGGTTTTTTTTCAAATTCCTTCTCATCATGTTCCCCTTCCTTTTTTTAGAATTCAAAACTGGTTTGGTTATAGCTGGGTCTACTAATAGCTTATAATATTTTGACTTTTGCCTCATTTCTTTTCAGAAAGGGGTGGGGGGTGCCTGAGCGAGCACTTCTTTCTAACTTGCAACGTGTCTCTTGCTGTCATTATTGTGTTTTAGGTTTTTTTGTCATTTGCTCTGACTATATTAATTTTGGCTCAGGGGCAGGGCCTAACAGTATTATTTTTTTTCTAAAACCTTGCCAGACGAGAAAACTGTCTTGACAGGTTCCGGCCATGTCTGGTACAGTCGGGAATGCGACAGCTCTTCGTAACCTCGCCGAGGATCTGTTGACGTCAGAGGAAAATGGCGCCTTCAGGGAAGCGTTGGGCAACTACCGCCAGACGGGCTCCTTGCCCTCATTGGTCAAGCAACTGAGTCACGTGATAAAAACTACTGAGAAGCTGATGCTGCTCGTGGAGATCAGCAGTGTCTTGTCTCAGGGTTTGAGGGCCGACTTCCACAAGTTGTGCTGCCTGTACTTCCCAACGTAAGAGCATAAGAGCAAGAATCAAGAGTACATGTTTTGAAAAACCACCATCTGCGCACAACTCTCTCTCTCTCTCTCTCTCTCTCTCTCTCTCTCTCTCTCTCTC